TACAGCCCTAACAAAGTGACTCAAAGCGGCAGCGGCGGCTGCATAATTTTCCCGTTAACGAATTCCCAACTCCCGTTCATGCCACTAAGTTCCGTTTCCTGAAAGTATGTATGTTAAGTACTCATGTAACGCAAACGTCTGGATGTCTGGACAATTTCAATAACATGCCGAATGTGCCGGCGCGACATTTCCATATTCATGAACTCGTTTAAAAAAAGGTGAACAACGAGTTCAAAAAAGAAGCTGCAACACATAACCAAATTAAGTAAGTTGATGGGAAGATATGACGCAAACGCAGCCAGTGATAATGAGACGCTTTGGAGTAAATAAAAAAATCAATAGCTGTGACTCTCAGTTATTTGAAGAAAAAAAGGCGTGAACTCGAATTTTGGACTGGTGAGTGTAAGAAACCAGTAATCCAATGAAGAGGCCGAAAGGAAGAAGTAAAAGTATTTTCGCCAGTCACGCTTTCTTAAGTTAAGATACAATTAAAATGCGCCGCCAATGCACAGTGGTTCAAAATTGACATTTTGTGTTCACAATTCACTGGACTATTTTTCACTCAATTTGATTAATTTTTTTTTTAAAGGTAGCTAATAAAATTTTCAAGAGACCAATTGAGCCCAATTTTTGAATTTTTGTTTGTTTGTATTAAATTTTTTAGTGCAAAGTGTAGAAAAAATAGCAATTTTGAAGAAACAGGAGAATCGATTTTGTAGTTAATAAATGATACTTAATAAAAACTAGTTGATAAACATTTATGGTTACCTCAAACGAAAAAAAATCACAAAAAAAATTTGAAATGTTATAAAAATTAATGTTCATCAAAATTAAAAAAAAAAAAATGTCTCTACAAAAATTTTGGGCATGCAGTTTTATAGATCATTATAGTTTAGTATAATAAAGTGCAATCTGCAAGTGGCTAAGAGATCTCCACTTATCAGACGGAACTGTAACACCAAACTGCCCATTCACACAGGAATTTCCGCTATCTTCTGCCTCTTGTTGTTTGCTGCTATTTTGGGTACTAGAAAGTGTCGTTCATTTTCTTTTTCAGCTGTTTGCAAGTTAGCCGTCTAACATCCACGGCTCTCCATTTCCGTATGGCCCTAAAATATAAAAATCTAAAATCCGCAGATTCTTGAGTTACTTACATATAACTGATTAAGTTACGTCAATTAAGTCTATGTTATGAAATCACGATTGATAGGTTTCGGCGCTCTAGACACATTAAACATTAAAAGCATTCAATGTGCCTTGGTTGAAATTTTCTCCCTATCTCCGTTTGCCAAATTGGTTTCTTTAATTTGTATTTATTTTCCATTCAATTTCAGATTAACAATCAAAGCTGGCTGTCCAATGAATTTAGAAGACTTTCCTATGGATATACAAAAGTGTCCACTAAAGTTTGGCTCATGTAAGTGAAATGAAAACTGCCAAAAACTTGTAAACAACTTATGAAAGTTCAACATCAAACCAACGTAAATACATATAAAGTAAATGCAATTGAGACTTCGTACGTGTACTTTATATGTACGTACATACGTATATATGTACTAAATATGTACATCCACTCTTATGAGCACACAAACAAACAAGTAAACAAAATAATTTCTTTCACAATTTTCTTAAACTTAAGGCTCTGTTATGCATACTTGGCATTGCATGCACTGCTATACCATTTTTACGTAGAAATCAAAAACCAACAGACTTTTACGTATGTAATGCTGTGCGTTGGGTAACCGCTTACACGCGAAGCTCATTTAACAGATTCCTTATGTGACAACTCTCAAGCAATGCCAAGTATGCATAACGGAGCCTTTATGCAAGAGATTTTTGAGTTACGGAACGCTAAGGGACATACACACACTCGTATTATATGTACACTAGGGTGGTCAAAAAAAAAATGTAATGTTAGCTCTCACCCCTCTCACCACTCAAAACCCATGAAGTTTTCTATGTATTTTATATGGAGGAAAAACAGACATTTTCTTAGAAATAGTATAGAATTCCTGAAATTCGATATATTTTCGATCGGAAAACTCGGTCTCTTATCAGGAGAACTCCAATAATAATACCCAAATGTTTATTTTATTTTATTACTTATGGGTCCTTGTTGAATTTTTTGGGGTTTTTGGTTAATATCAATTTTTTTTTTTTATTAAAAATTGGGTATTGTTATTGGAAGTCTCCTAAAGAGGAACAGAGTTTTCCCATCGAAAAATATTGATTTATGAAAGAATTCTATACCTTTTCTATGAAAAAGTGTTTCTTCCCCTCATAGAACACGTGGGAAACTTCATGGTCTTTGAGGCAGGTCTATACATCATTTAAGAAAAAACATCCTAGGGGGTGATAGCTTAACATTTTAAACTTTTCCCCCCGCTTGTATTTTTGGACCACCCTAATGTGCACTTGTGCATAAGCATGTAAGCATGTGTGTATAATTGTGTAGCTATTTTTATTACCTATTGACCTTGATGACTCAAAGTCGCAAATAAGTTTATGTGAGCGGAGGACACAACAAATAGGCGCTTGTAGTCGGCGGTCCGCTTGTATTAATGCGATCTAACTACTTATAAATGCAATTCAACGAAATACTTATGAATTGCATACATACATACATATATTTAAATTTACCAGGAATGCAGCGTATTACTGTACATATACTCAAAAGCAAGCTTGCAAACACCCTGAATGCTTATCGCTTTGCGCCACTTTACTGCCAGCTTTCTTTTTTTTTT